AAAAACAACCCTAGGTACGACCGTAGGATTTAATTTCTAGATTGCATTAATAATTAGAAAGGCCCAATCCTAACTAACAAACACGCTACGAGGGTTTGTTTAAGTTAGATCGTATGCTCCTCTGACATAAACCCAATTACGCCAGTTGCTACTGAGACAAAGATAACGAACAATTACGGATTCAATTATCCCTATTTAGCAAAATAGCCTATGTGAATAATTAAATATTGCGCATCTATTCAATCACTCACACGAGTTATAGCAATTAAAAGCAGGAAACATATAAATACCAATAAATTAAGGAAGCAATTAAAATCAATTAGATCTCACAGTAATTGTTGAACCAAATCTTCAGTTGTCCCCTTAACTAGAATTAAGAGGTTAGTCCTCCATTAATGGAGAACAACCATGCGAAAGAGCTAAGAGAAGAAAACTAAAAACTAAACTAAAAACCTAAAACTAGTGATTGATAAGAGTTCTCTGTACGTTTGTCTCCTTTTTAAAGCCAAAAGGAAGTCTAATGCTATCTCTAGTGGTCCCCACACCAAATTCAAAGTCTTGTACGTTTCTTTTCCTAGAGTCCAAATGACTCATGCTTCTTATCCGTGGTCTCCGCACATGTGGACAAATCCTCCAAAGTACTTGTTGTTCCAAATCTCTCTACGTTGCTTTCTTTGAAAAGCCCCAAATGACTAAATGCCTTGCACTAACTTGTGGTCCCCACCAATTCAAGGACCCAAAGGTTGAATCCCTTAGAAGTCTGCATTTTTCCATACAAGTCCCTCCTTTTTGGTAATTTTCTGTTTCACTCCTGAAATTGATTCCAAATACCAAATATGAGTAAATATCAGCAATTAACACAATATTTGTCAGGGATAGAAGGGGAAATCAATAATAAAATTACTAACAAATTATACCCTATCATAAATGGAATTTCCAAGTAGATTAAATATTAATTTAAGAATACAAAAAAAAAATTCATAAAGTTCTTCGGATGGCTTTTGGAAATTAAGTGTAGCTACGGTAAGAGGAAATTCTTGGAGTCTCGTACTGTCAAGGCACGAATCTAAACTTGAACTTCTTAAGTTTTGCTTTTGGAGATGATTCATAGAGATGATTTCTAAACAAAGGTATTAAGGAATATTTTCAACAAAATCGATGTTTGGCGTTTACTTCTGTACTTGTTGAAACAATCTCAATCTAAATCGTTGTCGCTAATGTATAGAATATAATGACTTCGTTTGCCTTGTAGTTTTATGAATTGGACTATTTAGCTTTCATGGCAAAAATACAGAATTTTAGTAATAACAATTCCGTTCCGACAAATGGGATTTTTGTCTATAATTTGGAGGTCACTTGTTTGAACGCATTAACAATACTAACACAATCTGATAATCAATATTGCAAATCGTGACTTATGGGGTGATAAAAATTTTAACCCAATTATGGGCAAGTGATGAGAAGTGTTGAAAAGGATTCCTTATTGACGTGAATACTTTCTAACCCAATTGCCCTTTTTTGTAGAGACTTGGACCGGAGTAATCGTTTGAAATACATGTATTTTCGCAGTGTCTCTGAGGATCTTGGTCATTGTAGTTTGTAAGTATGTGTTAAATCCATTTTTGCTTTGTATCATGTTATTTGTTGTGTATCTGTTTCCTTGTTTTTTCTCATGAAGGAACAGATAATATATCAAGGACAAAACCATATAACGGTTAGAACATAGCTCTGATGTTTGCAGTTAGGTTACTTTGTTCTCATTTTCTCTCTAGGATCTATTACGAGGCAAAAACCCTGTTTGATAATTGAATTTGGTATTTAAACTTTATCGATTCAAATTTTAATATGTTCGGATATGTTTAATAACTAAAAAATATAATATTTGAATTAATTGAATGACACTGAATTTTTTAGACAAAACTTGCTCGCAAAAATAAGTAATAGACTATTCATTATTATTTAATATGACATAAATTCAAATATATCAGATTTAGTCATTATTTGATAATCCAATTCATCACTTAAAATTAATGGATTCGGATCTTAATATATTTAAACACGTTTGATAATGAAAACTTGAACATCTTAATTCATTGAGTGGCACTAAATTTTGTAAGTAAAACTTGCTCCTAAATATAAGTAATAAACTATTCACTTATCATTTAATGTGATATACACTCAAAATATATGATATTTAGTATTTAATAATTTAATGGATTCAGACTTTGGATTTTAGGTTTCAAATTTCAATTTTTAGATTTCAATTTTATCAAACGCACCCTTAGTACTTAACAGTTCAATAACTTAATGGATTCAAACTTTAAATTTCAGATTTCAATTTTATCAAATGCACCCAAAGTTGAAGATGAATAAGGTTGACTAGATAATAGAATCCTCAATTTTGATCCCTTAGACAAAGTTAGTTTCTAAAATGTTTGTTAGGCTGTATTCTTCATTCTAAAGGCTGTGTTCCAAGTTTAAACATCCCATGAAACCTGATAGATTCTTCATTCTTTATTTTTATTTATCTTTTTTTGGGAGATTATCAAAGAAAAAGAAGTAATAATGAAACTGAAATTACTGTTCAGGAAAAAAACGTTACTAACTATTTGTAGACAATGAAATTGTTGTTTAAAATTTCAGTCAAGATAAAATAAATTGGCCTTTGATAGATTAAATTAAATCATATTAAATTTTGTCAAATCCAGTAACTTTTGCCGTGACAAGTTAGGCCCATGCCATGTTGGTCTCAATATAAAGTTGTAAGGTCCATTTAAATTGAAGTGGATTAATTAATTTATTAATTTAAAGTAGACTATTGGGCAAATGTGTTATTAAAACCCAAAATAAATAGGTTTTGGGTTACGCAGGAAGATTCTGGAGGATTTCTTGAAGACCAAGTCTACATATTTTGGCTGTAAATAGAACATATATTGAAATTCCTAAATTGTGAAATAAAATTGTCTTAAAAACTCTCAAGAACTAAGAGAACTGAGAAATCACATAACAATAAATGTTTCAGGAGCTTCCATTAATGTATTTCTCATACAATATTTTGAAGCTCCAAAATTATTCAAAATCTAGATCTTCTTTCTCAAACGCTTCAAGGATGAGCTAATGATATAATATTTATTTTCTGACCTCTATGGTTTACTTTAAGGTAAGACGTATTTTGTATTTAATTTCAAGTAGAAAAACCTAAAAAATAAAATATTTGGAGTATAATGTAGATGAATTTTCCAAATTAAAATCTTACGTGTGAAGTCAAGTATGAAAGCAAGCAGCAGATCAGGCAATTCTTTTGGAGCACTTGTAGGCATAGTTATTAAACCCGGCCCGGAAGGGAACCTAGCGAAAGAGGTGGGTGAACGGGTTACTGGTTCAACCAGTGGGTGAGTGGTTCAACCGGTGGGTCACGAAATATATTTAAATATTATGTTTCATAATTTTTGATATGATTAAAACTATAATAAATAATGTCATAGTAAATGCTCAATTAGTCTAATTCATTATAGAATCATTAATTCTTATAAGAATTAACAAAACCTAAATTCAATTAGTAATCTATCAAATTTCAAGTATAAAATTTTATCGAAGTATAATTATCTAGTTTATTTGTGAATTAAATGCAAAAGATTATTAGGAACGATATTTGCCTTTACAATGGATTGTGTGATATGTTATTTTTTAAATTTATTTCATAATTTATAGAGTTTGGGGAGTAATAAAATTATTAAAAGATTCCAAATAAATTATGTTTTGAAAAATTAAAATAAGAATGAAAGTCTAATATATAATATAAAAAAGACAAAATAATCAACAAGTGAGCTGTTGGTGTAGTTGTTGTTGCGTTTCCTCAAATACAAGAGGTCGCTGGTTCAAGGTATTACCATAGTTGTCAAAATCGTGATCCGGATCGTAGGATCGTACGTCGCAAATCATATTAATCTATGCAGGATCGCGTAGGATCGTAGTAGGATCGGTAGGATCGTAGGATCGATCCTACAATTTTTTGTAAATTTGTGAACTACGAGGCTCCATTTTGCAAGTAAATGAAAATATTTGTGGTATATTTGTAATTTATCAAAGAATTGCAGCCTTTAATTGCAATTAAGAGCTTTTGGTAGGATCTACGATCCGATTCTGTGAAACTAAAATCGATCCTACGTAGGATCCCGATTTTACAAACCTCGTATTACTCCAGCATCTTCCAAACATTTTTAACATGCAAATTGAGTTTTCCTACAAAACCGGGCGGTTTACCGAATTGACCTTTTTATATTATATTTTTTTCTCCAGCATCTTTTTTTCTATTCTATACACTTTTTATTTCAATAAAATTAGCAAATACATGACAACTAAATAATTTTCATCCCACCGGTTGTTACATTCATTTATAGAGTCTCAAACAACAAATTGACAAGTAAAGCCTGATTGGGTGGTTGCTACATTATTGTACGTACAATCATTCAGATTTTTTTTTCCCACAGAACGGCCCCAGCATTCAATGAGAGATGGTGAAGGCTCCAGCAACAAGACAGTTCAAGTGAAAAAGCCAAGCAACTTCCAGGCAAAAACAATTAAAAAACAATTGCCAACAAAACACTGCCACTACACTGATTGTGGGCTCATAATCTGTCATATAATTATTGCTATAAGCATGTGCTGGAAGCTAAGGTGATGCATGGGTTAACAAAAAACAAGGAATGGGTACAAGAATGCATAATTCGCGTGATTGTTAGCCTATGTTTAGGATTCATGATACTGGACTCAATAGTCTTGGCTGTGTAAACTTTAGAGCCAATTTCTCAATGATATTACATATTAAGTAAAGTAAATAGAAGTCTCAAAATTTCATTGTCTTAAAACGTTTGATATAATTCGAGAATTGCGATCACAAAAAAAAAAAAAAAAAAAATCTCTGTAATAAAAATTTGTCGACTACTCGGATTGCAAAAACCATATGTGAGTGTCTTTTTTGCCATTCGTTTTGGGTGGACGACAACTGCGGTTTAATTTTTTCCACAACAAAGGCCCCACAGCACTCTGAAGACCCAAGTCTTCTCTTAATAGCCGTCTACTATTCGTTTTGGCGATTCCTTCCTTATCTCATCGCAGAAAGCATCCCCATCACCATCATCCATATCAGAACTCTTTCATCCTAATTCCAATCCCAAGCAAGAAAAAATGGTTGATGCTGCTGTTAGAGCTACCATTAAGGTTGGATTGAACACGGTTGTTTCCCTTGCCGCTGATCATGTTAATCTGGCTCTTGAATTCCCAGAGGAGCTGGAGAGACTCAAAGATTCTGCTGCAATGATCCGAGGCTTCTTGGCCGGTGCCGACAAGGACATGCGTAGACCAGAGGTGCAAATTTGGCTCGAGCAGCTGGAAGATGAGGTTTTCAAAGCTGACAATGTGCTGGACGAGCTCAACTATGAAAATCTTCGTCGGAAGGTGAAGTATCAAAATCAAAATCAACTCACGAAGGTATTCTTCTGCTTTTCATTCTTTAATGAAATTGCTTTTCGTTGGAGGTTGGGTTCAACGATCAGGGGGGTCAACGCGAACCTTGAAGGGATCCATGGGCGTGCCAGAGGTTTGAGTCTGGAGTGCAAGGGCCAATCTGAAGAAGCATCGGGAGCCACAGCAAACCGACAGACCGACTCTATGATTGTTCCAAGTGATGTCATTGGAAGACACGAGGATGAATCAAAAATAGTTGACAAGTTGTTGACCCAATCTAAAAGTGATCGTATTTCAGTTATTTCCATAACCGGCCCGCCAGGATTAGGAAAAACAACTCTAGCTAAAGCCGTTTTCAACAATCCACAGTTTGATAATCATTTTGACAAAAAAATTTGGGTTTGTGTGGCTAAACCGGTTAACATCTTGCAGCTCTTCAAAATGATTCTAGAAACGTCAACAGGAAAAAAGGCTGAAGTGGATAATAGGCAAGTAATAGTTAAAGGAATTGAAACTGAACTTAAGGAAAAAAGATATTTGCTTGTTCTTGACGATTTGTGGAATCATCAACAACTATTGTTGGATAACTTTTTCACCACATTTAAGGCACTCGAAGCGAAGAAAGGGAGCTGGTGTCTTGTTACCACTCGTCTAGAACATGTGGCAACTACTCTGTCTGGACTTCCGCAGATCAATTTTACTCGCCATAAGCTAGCAAAGCTATGCAGTGATGGTTGCTGGTCCATCATTAATAAATGGGTAAATGTAGGGGAAGAAGTACCAAAAGACATAAAGGAGCAAGTTTTAGGAAGATGTAAGGGTCTACCTCTGGCAGCAACGTTAATTGGAGGTTTGTTATCTAACAAGGGAATAGAGGATTGGCTATCTATTTTGAAGGAGAGCCTCTTGAATGGAGATCAGGGTGGGATTGAGCAAATAATTAAGGTGAGTTTTGATCATCTGTCACCTGCACCGGTTAAGAAATGCTTTGCATATTGCTCAATTTTTGATCAAGATACTGACTTGGAACAAGATCTACTAGTTGAGCTTTGGATGGCTGAAGGCTTTCTTCAACCGGATTCCCAAAATCAAACGATGGAGGGAATGGGATGTGAGTATTTGAGAATTTTGCTGCAAACTTCCTTATTGGAAGAAGTAAGACGTTGGAGGGGAACTTGGTATAAAATGCATGATCTTGTGCATGATTTTGCAAAATCAATTTTGAATCGTAACAGCCGCAATCAGGACCGTTACCTTGCGGCATCTGAAAGAATGTTAGAAAACATGAACGAAAAAGCATCAGCATCACTTCGCACATTATTTCTGGACGGTGGCATAGCTGATGATATGTTATCAAAGTTCAAATACTTACATGTCCTAAAATTGTTTGGAGAAGATGTCAAAGAGTTGCCGACCTCCATTGGCAAACTAATACATTTACACTTACTTGACATATCAGGTTCTAGCATTAGAACTTTGCCAGAATCTCTTTGCAAACTTTACTGTTTGCAAACACTGAGAATTGACGCGCTTGAAAAAGGTTTTCCAAAGGAGATGAGCAATTTGATTAGCATGAGACATCTTCACTATTTTCATGATGATACAAGATGCAAAATCAATTTGATTAGCATGAGACACCTTCACTATTTTCATGATGATACAAGACGCAAAATCCAAATGCCATCCGGGATTGGACGATGGACTTGTCTTCAAACATTGGAGTTCTTTAACATAGGTCGTCAAGAGGAAGGTCGTGGTATCCAAGAGCTTGGAACCTTGGAAGATCTTAAAGGCTCCTTGGAGATCAGAAATCTTGAATTAGTAAATGGCAAAGATGATGCTGAACTGGCGAACCTATCTAAAAAGCCAAATCTGTATCGGTTGGTATTTGAGTGGGGCAATAGGGATCGGGAAAGTAATAAATGCGATGAAAATGTGTTGGAAGGCCTCCAACCTCACCCAAATTTAAAAGAGTTGCATATCCGGAATTTTAGGGGTGAACAGATTCCACAATGGCTTGTGAACTCATCAACATTAGTGGAATTGTACTTTGTCAATTGCCATGTTTTGCTGGCAGAAAAGGTTTTGAGCAATATAACCACACTCTCGTCCCTTAAATTAAATGGTGACTTAAATCTCTTTGGTAATCAACGCGTCGAGTCTCTAAAATTAGTGATACGACCAGAGAGCAGCTTGAGCGACTCTGTCTTTTTCCAACTCTTCAGCGTGTAGTATTGGGGGATGCCCATAATGTAACAACATTAAGAGGAATGAGTTGCGCCGCTTGTCTTAAGAGATTGGAGATAGACCGTTGCAAGAATTTACGAGAGTTGCCAGAAGATCTGTATCAATTTCAAGCTTTAGAGCACTTGGCGATACGGGGTTGCCGGAGAATTGATTCATTTGGATATCCAAATCCTAAAAATTCATTTGGACAGAAAGGCCTCCTTAAGTCTCTTGAGCGATTTACTGTCGAAAGGTGCGGTGCATTAACAAGTTTGCCAGTGGAGATGTTCGAGTCGTGTACGTCTCTCCGAAAGCTGAATTTGTCCAATTGCCGCAGTCTGGTCTCCTTTCCCCTTGATTTGCGACGAACCCCTTCTCTTGAGAGCTTCTCATTATACTGGTGTGCCAACTTGATTGCTGGGATGCCTAGTGGATTTGGCTATCTTACCAGCTTAAGGGAAGTGCACATTGGTCCCTTCTCAGATTACTCAGTAATCGAATTTGATTGGGCTGGATTAGCATCTTCATCATCACTCCGACACGTGTCTTTTCGTGGAACGCCTGAATTGAAATCTCTGCCACATCAGCTTCAAGACTTGACTACCATCACATCACTGTCTCTACATCTCTTCGGAGCAATCGAGGCCTTACCAGATTGGCTTGGGAACCTTGCGTCTCTTGATGAGCTAATCCTCCGTGGATGCCCAAAGCTTGAATATTTACCCTCCGTAGATGCCATGGAACGCCTCAAATTAAGACGTCTGGAAATTGACGGTTGTCCTCTATTAACCGGAGGATGCACACCTGAAAGCGGCTCCGAGTGGCCCAAGATCTCTAATATTTCAGAGCGTGAAATTTATTGATCCGGTAAGATCTCATCTCAAAATTTTAATTAATTCCTTCTCATTATTGGATCATCTTATTCTACCCGTATTTCTCCGGGTATACCTTCCATTCCTATTTTATTGACATTAAAACTTAAGTATAAGATTAAAGCCATCATATCTTATATAACACAGTAAGAATCCCAATACACGAAAGAAGTAGTAGTGTTTTGCTGTTAATTTTCTTGTTTGCTTATTTTCAATTATATTCCTAAAATGCATTTTAACTTGAGTAACAGAAATATGTGAAACAAATGAATGACAATTTTGGAACATTAACTTATCCAAATAATTGTAATATACTTTCTAAATTAAAACTTAGATAAAAACTACTAACATTATACATACAACAAATAATTATCAATCTGATACAACTACTTATATTGTTAAGAATATGTAAAATAAATTTGCAAATCACATGACTAATATACTCTATTCTAAATCTAGAAAAAATCATAAATTAGAACTAAAATCATTAGCAATTACAAATAAATAAAGAAATTCATACAAATAAATTAACAAATCTTTTCTGAAATAGCCAATATGTACTTCTGAGGTTTCGGCCGAACCAAAGTGGTGTCGGAAAGAAACACATTCAAAAGTTGAATTGATATCTTTAAAAGCCCACTACACTCAACAGCACTTGAAGGTGACAATTTTTGGTTTTTACCGCTAGCATTTAACGGGTGGATATGTTCTTAATATTCTCTCTGTAAGACTCTGAATTATGATTGCCGTAAAATTAGCTCAATGTCGATTAAGTTGAAATTGTTTGCAGAGGAACTAGGCTGCTGCTAAAACTATAAATTCTTATCATCTTTTAAAATTTTTGAAATTCAGATACTATAACTAGCTACTTTTCTATTTTGTGAATTGGATTGATAATATTATGGCCTTGTAGGCCACAAGTGTCAGTGAAGCAGCAAGCAGTGATAGCGCCGAAACATTGTGAAAGGCTCAAAAGTGTGCTTAAGGCAGAGTCGGCCTGGAACCTCTAGAGCATCTTATTGCACTTTTCGCATTCTCTAACTGCAACATCAGGTTGTGGTTTCGAATCATTTTTGAAGAAAGATGAGGAGGTATGTGGTTTGGAAATGACTCCACCCAACTTACTCGAAGTACAGGGGAATTGGTCCAGTTTGTATCTGACATAGATGATGATTCTTGAGACTCATACTGCTGAAAATTCATTGGCCCTGTTGTATAATTATAACTGAAGTTATCCCACCATCCTTGATCATACCCGTTTGGATTAGGGTTATACCACGTTTGAGACCAGAGTGAAAAATCTCCATAATTATTGAGTGGGACACTCAGATTATCTTGATATTCGGGGCACATACCGGTTGAATGATCCCTGGCATAACAAATTTTACAGGTTGCAGCAGCCATTCTATCTCTAATAGAGTTTAGTGCCTCTGAATATGCAAACTTAGCAAAAAAACTAGCCTCATTGCCTTCCCTGGAAACAAAATCCAGTCTATCACCAAAATACGGAGTGTTAGAAGCCATAAACTATAAAAAAAAAATAAGAGAAAAATAAATAAAATAAAATAAAAACACGATGAACTCAAAAAGAAACAAATAATCTGGCACCAGTCCCCAGCAACGGCGCCAAAAATTGACAGGGTGTCGAGCCTGTGCAATAATAAATACCTGCTCAAATAAAATATAATTTCTATAGATAGTGATAAGTAGGGTCGAATCCACAGGGATTGGGGATAATTTATTTCTTTTAGAGTCCGAAGTATGGGGGGTTTTTTTGGAAAATATAAAATAACTAATTAGCTAACTAATAAAACAACTAATAGAAATAAATAGAAATTAATCAATAACCAATATGACTCTAGCCAAAGGTACAACTTTTCAGACACGGTCCATGCAACTGATCATCGACGCAAAGATAATTCAATTACTCATTAATAGATTGGTTATAGTTGCCATACACGCGATGAACAACCAACCTTTCCTTAATTTCTCGATAGTTAAGGTACGACCGTTAATGATAGAACCGTTATTTGGCACGTTTTGCAGTGTTATTTTGTCCTGATTTTGGCTATTTACTGTGCTAAGTACTGAGGTTTAACTTATATTTCATATTTGTACGAATTATAGGTGGTCGGCACTAAAATGATCTCTTGAGGCAAATTTACAGAAGACCCTTTGTCTCAAAGCGTGGCCACGCTTTACAAGGTAGACGTTACCGAAAAGACGGACCGTGGTCCACGTGAACCCGAAGCGCTGGATTAGAACCTTTAACAAAAATTGTGGGCCTCCTAACCCTGGAAAGACGTCTCCTACGGCTGCTTCAAATGAAAAAAGAATAGGAAGGACCCACGATGGCTGATGAAGACTTCAGCTTTTAGTTTTTCTTGGGTTTTTTTTTGTCAGACGCTTTCCGTCGTTTTTGCTTCTTCTTCGGCAGCAAATTAGATAGCCAGATTGACATTGAATCAAAATAGTAGCTTTAGTTTTTCTTTTCCCAGGCGCTAGACGTCGCTTTCCTCTTTTGACTTTTAACTTTTCCGCTGGACAATTCATTCGTAGCTTTGGCTTTGTAATTGGGACTCCAAAGCAGAGACGAAGGCAGGGCCTTTACTGTTGCTATTGCAGTTAATTCCCCTTTCCCAATTCTTTGGCAAATAATTGAATGAATTCAATTAAACCACGCGGGATTGAAATGATGAGGAGCGGCTAATTTTCCCCTCTACCCAAAGGTTGACGCAAGGGCGTGGTCTATAATATCTGTGAGATCCAATCAAGCTTTCATTATTTCCTCCAATTTGTTGCTATTCGTGCGTTTTCTGAATTAATTGTTCATGGGTATTTTATTAATTGAATATCAACGGTCGGGTATTTGATTTAATTTAATAGCCTACTGCCACGTTAATTAAATAGAATCCGTAATTGTTCATTTAGTTAATACCCCGTGGCAACCACCATAATTGGCTTTATGATGGGGAAACGCAAGATCTAATTTAAATAAACCCTCTCAGCGTGTTTATTGGTTAGGGTTGGGTTCTTCTAGATTTAATGCAATTGGGTAATTAAATTCCTACGGTCGTACCTAGGGTTGTTATCTGATTAGGGAAGCAGTCAATGGTCGTATCTTGACTGTCGAAAAGGTAAGGAAGAACTGGTTGTCAGAGCTTATTGATAACTATAACCAACCTAGTGATGAATAGATGAAATATCTTTGCATCGATGATCATTTAATTGGACCGTGTCTGAGCAGTTGATCCTTTGGGTAGAACTTTTATTAATTGCTATTTTTAGTGAATTGTGCTTTGTGAGTTAGTTTTGAATTTAGTTCGCTTTATTTTTATTTTACTTTTATTTTATTTATTTCTCTCCCAGTGAAAATCCCCCAATTTTGTTCTATTGATTTGGAAAGAAATAATTTCCTACCCGCTCCCTGTGGAATCGACCCTACTTGCCATTATATGCAAAAATTAATATTTTTATAGACAAATCCGATATATCGGATCAAGCAAACTCTTCGGGAACAGGGTGAATCAAGTAACCCATTGCACACCTAGGGTCCCTGCTCCAGTACTTGGATTTGTTTTATAATTATTTAATTGAGGTGGTAATTAGAACTTTTTTTTTAGTAATTATTATTGCACAGGTTCGGCACCTGTCAATTTTTGGGGCCGTTGTCGGGGAGTTGGCGTTTGGATTATTTGTTTCTTTTTAAATTCAATTTTTATTTTATTTTATTTTTCTTGGTATTTTTGCTAGTTTATGCCCCGTTCTTCTAGCATAGGTGAATTGATATACGATCCTAAGGTTGAGAAGGCAGCGCGTAGGCGGAGGCAAGAGACCAAGAGACGAAAAGAAGGGCACTTATTTGTTGCAAACGAGTCAGTAGAAGACGAAATAAGCATGGCCAACACCCAAACATTAAGGGAGCTGGCTGCCCCGGAGTTGACTCACCAGCCCTTATGCATCACATTCCCCACTTTGGCAGAGAATACTGTTTTCGAACTGAAGTCAGGGCTGATTCACCTCTTACCTTCTTTCCATGGTCTCTCTGGCAAAGAACCCCACAAACATGTCAAGGAGTTCGAGGTAGTTTGCTCTAGCATGAAACCTCCTGGGGTCATTGAAGAACAAATAAGACTTAGAGCTTTCCCCTTCTCTCTCAAGGATGCAGCAAAAGATTGGCTATACTACCTACCAGCGGGTAGTATTACCACATGGGCACAGTTAAAAAAGAAGTTTTTGGAAAAATTCTTCCCTGCATCCCGGGCTGCGAGTTTGAGGAAAGAGATCTGCGGCATTAAACAATATCCTGGTGAGTCCTTGTATGAATATTGGGAAAGGTTTAACAAGTTGTGCACTAGATACCCGCAGCATCAAATTAGTGAACAACTGTTAATCTAATACTTCTATGAAGGGCTCCAATCAACCGATAGGAGTATCATTGACGCTGCGAGTGGGGGAGCACTTGCAAACAAGACACCGAGGGAAGCGTGGGAGTTCATCGAAGCCATGGCAGAGAACTCCCAGCAATTTGGCTTCCGTGAGAGCAACCCTCCCCGTAGAGTCAACGAGGTAGAGACTTCATCTATACAGCAGCAACTGTCAGAATTGACGTCTGTTGTTAGGCAATTAGCCATGAGAGACACACCGCGAGTGAAGGTGTGTGGAATCTGTACTAACATGGACCACTGCACGGACACGTGCCCCATTTTGCAAGAGGACGGGACGGAACAGGTAAACATGGCCGGAGGCGTGCCCACGCCCCGCAGACAGTACGACCCATACTCCAATACGTACGATCCGGGCTGGAGGGACCATTCCAATCTCAGTTATGGGAACAGGCAACAAAATTCATTTCCGAATCGTCCACCAAGATTCCACCAGCCATGGCAACCAAAATCTCAACCCTCGTCCTCCAATTCAAGAAGCTCCCTGGAGGACCTAGTCAAAAGCCCAAAAATTGACAGGTGCCGAACCTATACAATAATAATTACTAAAAAAAAAGTCCTAATTACGACCTCAATTAAATAATTATAAAACAAATCCAAGTACTGGAGCAGGGACCCTAGGTGTGCAATGGGTTACTTGATTCACCCTGTTCCCGAAGAGTTTGCTTGATCCGATATAATGGATTTGTCTATAAAAATATTAATTTTTGCATACAATGGCAAGTAGGGTCGATTCCATAGGGAGCGGGTAGGAAATTATTTCTTTCCAAATCAGTAGAACAAAATTGGGGGATTTTCACTGAGAGAGAAATAAATAAAATAAAAGTAAAATAAAAATAAAGCGAACTAAATTCAAAACTAACTCACAAAGCACAATTCACTAAAAATAGTAATTAATAAAAGTTCTACCCAAAGGATCAACTGCTCAGGCACGGTCCAATTAAATGATCATCGATGCAAAGATATTTCATCTATTCATCACTTGGTTGGTTATAGTTATCAATAAGCTCTGACAACCAGTTCTTCCTTACCTTTTCGACAGTCAAGGTACGACCGTTGACTGCTTTCCTAATCAGATAACAACCCTAGGTACGACCGTAGGAATTTAATTACCCAATTGTATTAAAACTAGAAGAACCCAACCCTAACCAATAAACACGCTGAGAGGGTTTATTTAAATTAGATCTTGCGTTTCCCCATCATAAAGTCAATTATGGTGGTTGCCACGGGGTGTTAACTAAATGAACAATTACGGATTCTATTTAATTAACGTGGCAGTAGGCTATTAAATTAAATCAAATACCCGGCCGTTGATATTCAATTAATAAAATACCCATGAACAATTAATTCAGGAAACGCACGAATAGCAACAAATTGGAGGAAATAATGAAAGCTTGATTGGATCTCACAGATATTATGGACCACGCCCTTGCGTCAACCTTTGGGTAGAAGGGGAAATTAGCCGCTCCTCATCGTTTCAATCCCGCGTGATTTAATTGAATTCATTCAATTATTTGCCAAAGAATTGGGAAAGGGGAATTAACTGCAATAGCAACAGTAAAGGCCCTGCCTTCGTCTCTGCTTCGGAGTCCCAATTACAAAGCCAAAGCTACGGATGAATTGTCCAGCGGAAAAGTTGAAAGTCAAAAGAGGAAAGCGACGTCTAGCGCCTGGGAAAAGAAAAACTAAAGCTACTATTTTGATTCAATGTCAATCTGGCTATCTAATTTGCTGCCGAAAAAGAAGCAAAAACGACGGAAAGCGTCTGACAAAAAAAAACCCAAGAAAAACTAAAAGCTGAAGTCTT